GTATATATATATATATATTTATATATATATATGATACAGAATGAGCCATATAAATATTGAAATGTTACAGAAGAGGAATCTGCAAAAAGACACAAAGAAAAAAATCAGCTCCCGATGGGACTCGAACCAGGGACTTATTGCATGGTGAAAGTCATAACCACTTGACCAAGATGGCACTGTTGTGATTCAAGCGTCCCGGTACAATCAGAGTTCCTTTCATTCTTTTAACGTGTCTCATGTCACGATTTTGATATAGCGCTACTATCCCAATATATGCCATAGATCTACAAGATAAAGTACGCCGCCTTCTGTGCATTATTCCTGGATCTCGAATGGCATCTTGTCTTGTATCTATAAAAGTGATTTTAATGCCTTTTAATCACTTTATATAAGCATACAAGAAAATAATAGAGGATTGTCTTCTGCCCAATCACCACCAGAAGGATCCTACTACTGAATAAATTAGCATCTACGAATCGCATTTAAAAACTTCATTACTTACTCAAAACATGTGCAAGATGTATTATATTTTCTAGATTTAGGGCTCATTCTGTATCTTTATTTAAGAAACCTAACATTTTTAGATGTATTTAAACTTCATAAATTATGTATTTTAAATTTAATATCAGATTTATTTAATAATAGGCCTAGATTACTACATAGTTTATCTGATCATTTTGAAAATATTTGTCAGAGTTATACAACAATGTTTAATTACGAATATTATTTAACCATATCAAAATGCCGAACTAATTAGGGAGTTGGTTAAGAACGGGGCCAAGATCGATTAGACATGTCTATTTCTTGCCTTTTTTTGTATACCATGTGCATGTTTTTAATTTTTTGCGTATACAATAAAGAAATAAATGAAAAAAAGATAAATGATTAAAATAAATACAAAATTTTCACTATTTATAATAACAAACCCTCGCTTTGTTGCGTCATATATAATATTATGTAGGCATACTGATAAAATAATGGCACGCGATCGATCCACTTACATCAGCTCGGCCTAGCCAAACAAAGCCAATTACCATTAAGTCTTGCGTGGCGAGCCCTGGCTGGTAAATGTATGAATAACATTCTAAGATACACATCTTAATTCCGATCCTCACCAAATTAGGGGAGGTCGAGATACATGTAACATTGTCGATTTATGAAAATCTGAAGGAAACCAGTCCAGTAGTATTACCCTTCTCCTCACCTTTCGAGAGGTGAGAGTAATAATTTGAATAATTTTTAAAAGCGCGTAGAAAGGTCTACCTGTAAGATAACATTACTTACCGGTATTTATTTCTTGAAGCGTTGCGTGGCGAGTACCAATAACAAAATCATATCCATACATTATTTATTTAATTACTGATTTTTGTATTATTAATAATATTATAATATTCCTATTTTATATTATTATATAAATATATAAGTATATATAAATATAGGTATATATATATTTTGAAGGCCACTGAGTTTTTAAGAATGGATGTAGCATCTAAAAGGTTGACCTGAGAAAAGTAAACTAGTGTTAAATATTTCCACTTAACACAACTTAAATTTCTACTTACATTCCTGCATTGACAACACTCTCATTTATGGCTTTATTGATTTCTATTGTATGGTTAGTGAAAGCTGCAACGAGCAAGAAACCACCTGAAAACAACCGTAATATCTGTGACTACACCATAATTTATTATCTTATATTTCTGTATTTGAGGTATTTGTTTTAAAGCTCAATTCCCGCAAAATTTTACTTCATAAGAAAATCTTATTTTATATAATTATGTTATAAATATATATATATATATATATATATGAAATTGCTAGTTCAACTAAATTTAGACATTCTTAAACATGAAAAAATGTAAAATGAAACTGAAATTTGATTTTTTTTTTTTTTTTGGTGTGTGTTCAGCACAAAAATGAACGCGGAGGATTTATTCATGTTTGATTTTTGCGATAGGTCTGTGAAAGCGCCGGGAACATTAGCCTAGCAATACTGCCTACCCTTACCTCGATTTAGGTTCTGTTATAAAAACGGCTGATGATTTTTTCTATTGCTTGTATGTTGACTTTCGTGATATATAATATTTCATTAGAATTATTTCAAATTTAATAAAAACATGATTCTGACTATGATTTTGACAATTAAACGGGCGGGTTAGCTAAATACCACGACTTCAGCCGAGGGAAGCGTTGCTTGTATGGTGACGTCATGTATAATTATACCGTCTACCTTCTGAAAAGCACATACACCGTGTGATGACCGATGTGACGTTAGCGAGCAGGCTAAGGCATATTGTCGGAGTGTCCTGCTACGGTCGGGTGACAGACGAGTTCGATCGTAGGTCTAGGCCTGGGCCAGGTCTCCTGTACTGAGCTGATTGCGTTGCAAACGAATCGGGGTGCCTTCCCTTTTGCGTCAGGGCAGCTGGCAATGCACCCTGATTTCCTGCAATGCAAACGGCGAAGTTGAACCAGGTTCAACCTTCCCGGCGACTGTCGGTGACTGTCGCCGATGGGTGAACGATTTTATGGAAACCGAGTTTAACGAAATGTTAATCTCCTATGAGAAATAATCTCTATTTCTCTTTTTTCTTTATATTAATAATTAGAGTAAAGCATATGCAATTTAAAAAAAAAAAATTTTTTTTGTAAAATTTAGCTGGGAATGGGGCTTTAAGATAATTTGTTGATGGAAACTGTTTGAGTATACAGTAATAATACTTGCGGTTATCTATGTGGTTTGCGTACAGTATAGTCACTGTAGGGATGTGACAACGTTTAGTTAATAAATTGACAAATCTGTCAACACATACTAAAAAAAGGCTCTTTTAGTGGAATCATGCACACTCAGATTGCAGGTCATACAGAAAAATTCATTTAAGAATTTTTTTAGATGGAAAAGTGGTAAATTCTGTATAATCATAATTTTTGATTGGTGCAAAATTTTATAAAAACATATTTATTAGTTTATCAGTTCATGGTGCTTTACCATTACTTGAAAATAAAACAAATACAAAAAACAGTATGTATGTATATAATTTTTACTTCATAATTTCAAACATA